GTTCAAGAAGAAATCTGTTCTAGAAATGATCCCTTTTGCTTCATGAATCATCTCTATATTTAGAAAGCAAATTTCCCTATAGTGAAGTATGTGAAAGAAATTCTGTATAAGAAGCAGCAAGATTCTGTATTTGGGTAAGTTTATTGCAGTCGGTTTAGGATATGGTGAGTTGAGTCCATGTGATTCAGTTTAGGGGATAAAATTATTTATTCCTTGTATATACAGAAAGTGAGGGAGAATTCTGGATAACTGTCTCAAATTTTTTCATATTGATTTTGCAAATTGCAGAAGTATAGCCTGTATACATCTGACTTACCAATTGGTCTCAGGCTAGTGAACTTTGCAGAACTAAAAACAATTTGTTTAGGAATGTCATTTTCTGATACTTTATAGAGCTGCACTATCCAGTGCAGTAGCCACTAGACATATGTAGGTTCTTAAATTTTAATTGTAATTTATTAACATTAAATAAAATCCTGAATTTGATTTCTCAGTTGCAGTAGCCACATTTCAAGTGCCCAATACCACATGTGACTGATGGCTACTGTATTGGACAGCCCAGATATAGAACACTTCTATCTTTGCACGAAGTCTTATTGCCCAGCACTGCTATCTGGAGTCTTGACACCTCCAAGAGTAATGTTTAGACCTATATAGCACCTTTTGAGAGGTCTACCAGCAAGCTCTAGTAACTGCCTTTTGGCATTCGTCCCCTTTCTATTAATCCAATGAGAGCTAACTTAAGGATTTATCAAGGACTTTTGTGCCCTCATTAAAGCCAGCATTTACATACAGTCCTCTCCTGTAGTGAGGGCTTGTGTAGAGGCAGTCAGCTGGCATAGCATTTGTGGGTGCCAGCTACTCAGCAAGTACATCTAGTGTCTAAAATGCACCTTTGATTCTAAAAACTTAAAACTATTCTAGTATGAGGAGTTTCGTAAATAATTAAAGTGATCTTCCTATATTGCTTTTACTAAGCAATTCTATTAATTTGTGATTCTGAAATGTAGAATTATTACTTCCTAAGTTAGGCAATGTGACTTTTAAAAGTTATGTAAATCAAAAGACCATCTTTATAAAGTACTTTGCACAGATCAAAAGGGTTCCTAAGATATTGATGCCATACAATTGCTCTTAAATATAGTCATATCTACTACACTTATGAGTCTCATTTTTTTTATTTTCTTCAGAGGATATAGCATAGCCTTCTTTAGTCATATATCCCTATTTAATGTTATAAAATTCCAGGTTTTAGACATGTGTTTAGCCATATGTTTGAGTATCATATGTATATAGGCTATGCCAACTATACTGAATGATAACTTTGGCTAAGACTATTAGGAGAGAGATTGGAGGTTCTGTTGATCTTGCCTCATCATTTAGGACCTAACTGTTAAATGTAATCAACTGAAATCCTTTAATATTTCTCCCTTGGAAAGATTTTCCAGCCTTTTTGTTATCGCTGTTCAGCCTCACTCTCTCCAAGTTTAAGGCTTTGAGTTCAATGTTCTGCAACCTTATAAGATGACCCTCTCTTGGATTCTGTGTCACACACATATTTGTATGCCCCTGTGATGGGTTTCCCCCCTCAGTGTATTGCACTGACTGTGTGTTACCTTGATACTTGGGTATAAAGCCAGTTATTTTACATTTTATACTTGGTGTTTTATATTTACACTCGTTAAAATGTACTTGCCTTTATGCCTATCAAACTTCATGGTTTCTGAGCTCAGTTAGGGGGCACAAAAAACATAGTACGTATTGGATTTGTGCTGCTGTCTTCAAGTCAGATATACATCTGTATTCAACTCTCCTGTTCCTTACTTTCTAACTTTGTTGTCTCCTTCCATATATTTAGTAGTTTAATTTAGCAGAAGTCTGAGTTAACTCTTTCCTTGTTTTCCACTTCCTTAAATGAGACACAGAATCATCTAGCTGGGAGCATTCCATTTTGATATTTGACATGTGAATTATAATTTTGATTATGTCAAGAATTAATTACTTAGGTTGAAAATAGATAGGGGGAGGGTAAGAATAGTATGGGAAATGTAGAAGCTAAAGAACTCACAAGTATGACACATGGACATGAACTAAAGGGGGGATGTGGGTGGGAGAGGGTGTACAGGGTGGAGGGGAGTGAAGGGGGAAAATGGGACAACTGTAAAAGCATAATCAATAAAATAAATTAAAAATAAGAATTAATTCCTTGTAGTTCTCTTTTTCTTTGAGTTTAAAATCTATCTTCTCCTTTCTAGATTAATTTGCTTAGTAGAAAATTGTGTCTTTAATATTAGTTATCTTAACACATTGTGAATAGTCTTCTTAAATCCAAGTTGATATGTTTTACTCTCAAAACATACTAAATTATACCTACTAAATTAGATAGAAAACTTTTTATCAAGTATTTAATGATGCAGGCAATTTTAAGAACTACTTGTATAAGATCTGAGCTCTGTAATAGCAATAGTGTAGTACAGGGATTAGCAAACTAGGAACTGGGGACCAAGTCTGATATACCACCTATTTTTACATATAAAGTTGTATTGAAACACGGCATGTACATTCATGTATGTATTGTCTATGGCTGCTTTCACACTTTTATGGCAGAATTGAGTAGTTGCAACAGAAACCATATGGCCTTCAACCCTAAAATACTTACTATCCAGTCCTTTACAGAAAAAGATTGTTGACCCCTGGTATAGCAAAAAAAAAAACACCTTGAACTGGGAAGAGTAGTTAGAGGGCATCAATTCTGTCTATTCTTGATTCTGTCACAAAGATGGCATCAATCTTAACAAGTTGCTAAGCCTCTGTGAACCTCAGTTTCCTCATCTGCAAAATGAGTCTCTTAGAATGAATCATCTCTAAGGTTGACTCTCAAACTCTAATAAAATTCTATAAATCCATAAAGTGTTTCAGAACCATTTTTGCAGTTTTACTAATAGCTTTGTGTTGAAAATTTGAACCACAAGTGCAGTCACTAAGTTGAGACAAGTAAACAAACAAAACCACTCATCACAAGACAGATAAATTAAGAACTTGCTAGTAATTGTTTCAAAAGAATTTACCTTACAGGTCCCTTTCAAACAGTACTTTCTTAATAATGTAAGTACTTCTAGATCTTTGACTTCAGTGGTAGCTAAAACATGCCTTGAAACATAAAACTGACGTATTAAGAAACTCAATTGAACTTCATTAGGAAATAAAAATAAAGCATCTCTAAAATTCTAGTTGCAGGGTGTGGGAAACATGATTTGATTTATAAAAATTCCATCCCCACCCGGCTTTTAGGGAACATAGGTAATATGTAAAGTAAAATAAGCTTCTATTGTAGAAAGAAGAACTCAGCATTTTCATCATGGTAGCCAACCATAGAATTCTGCACACAGGAACCTCTCTTGCATTAACCCTAGAGTTTGGGACATCTAAAAGTTTCCTGGAATGGTATCATCAAGAGCACTTCTCTATTTTTGTTTTTGGGGTTTTGTTGTTGTTCTCCTTCTTTCCTTTCTGCAGTCTGTCTCCTTTTCAATTTCTGTTTGTGGAAAGAAACCCTAACATGATTCCTCCCCACCAAGAAAAGAACCTTGCAGAAATGTATTACTATTAGTATTTTCATATATGTATTAAATGCCTACACACATAAAAGATTTGTCTTTCTTTTCAGAAAAAAAATCTAAGAGTTTAATATTTAAAATTTAGACTTACGACAACTTAAGTGAATTGATGCTTAGGTTACCTAAATGAGCCTTTCTTGACTAGACCAGCAAAAAATTGTCCTCATGTTCTAGCTACATATTAGTAGGGTTAGTAATGATTTACATTTGCAAAATGCTTTACAATTTGCAAACACTTTCATATACATTATGACTTTTAACAGTCCTATAAGGTAAGTTATGCCAGTTTTAATATCCTTGCTTTACAAAGGAGAAAACCTAAAGAAGTTAAATGATTGACTCAAGTAGCCTCATGTGGCTGGAAAGTGCAGAGCCAAGGAACACACCTGCAGTATTTACTACTATTACAAAATATCTTTTATAGGTTTTCTTGTTACTGAAACAATAATTCCCAGCCATTTTCCACCCAGCTGTCCTAAGGGATGTCATACTTTCAACATGACAGTGATTCTCAACTAGGAATCAGGAAAGGCTATGTGTGATTTAAAAGAGTCACATTGTAGTTGATTTTTCTGTGTGGCCTGATTGAGAAATAATATACAAGAATAATACATAATCATTGTTAACAATGAAAGGAAAGGGGAAAAAAGAAAAATGACTCATATTCCTACTTCCCATAGATAATTATTACTAATAACATTTTGGTATATATTCAGTCTCTTTTATATTAACCTGGTTTTTTTTCCAAAACTAAGATCATACTATAGATTGTTTTAAAAGCTTTTTATCTAATTCATCACAAGCATCTTTCCATTTCATTAGGTATACTTCTGAAGTAGCATTTTATAAAGACTGAAGAATATTCCAGTCGTGGTGCATGTTTGAGTTCAAGATGTAAATGGTATATACTTTCGCAATCACCAACAGTGTTATTCTGGTATTTGCATATGTGATCAATTTGAAGGAATCAAAAATTATTTAAAAACTACCCCTTTTCACCCTGGCCAGGTGGCTCAGTTGGTTGGAGCATCATTCTATATGCCAAAAGTTTGCAGGTTCAATTCCTGGTCAGGGCACATACCTAGGTTGTGGGTTCCATCCATGATTGGGGCACATACAGGAGGCAACCAGTCTGTTTCTCTCTCACATTGATGTTTCTGTCTGTCTCTCTCCCTCATTCCCTCCCCACTCCTCTCCTCCCTTCCTCTCTCTTTAAAATCAAATATATCCTTGGATGAGGAGGATTAGAAAAGTAAAGCTACCCCTTTTCTAGCTGTTATCTTATATATTTTACTTTCTGAATAACCCTTAAATAACAATTTGTTAATTAACCTTTTATATTTATGTATTTGTTTTAATAGATTTTTTATCTCTTTGCTTTAGGGTGCAGTACTAGCAGCTGTGTCAAGTCACAAATTCAACTCATTCTACGGGGATCCTCCTGAAGAGTTGCCAGATTTCTCTGAAGACCCTACCTCCTCAGGTAATTGGATCATTCATTCATCCATTCACCGGGGTGAATCATTTCATGTCTACATCTTTTCTCTTCCATTCTGAATAAACTTTTTTTCTGTGAATGCAGTCAGATCCTCCAAGGGATTCTAAGGATGTTTGCAGCAACCAAATCCCATCCACATGTGTCTGATTCCTTTTAATGTTAATACCAGAGTTGCTCCAAAAGCATCATTTCATTTTTTTCTTTTTACCTCAGAAATAATTCTTCCCCTTCCCCAACTCCAGACCCAACATTGCACTTCATCCAATCAAACATTGTAGTTGATCTTTTTGGATCTTTCTGATTACCTTCTACCTCAGGAAAAAGTTCTGATGTAAGATTTTCCCCATGTCAGCCATAGCAGATCAGCCTTTGCGACAGCATTGCTTTTATTTAGATCTTTAAATGTAAAGTTGTCTTATGAGTTATCTCTTGAAACAATTTACAAGTTCTTCTCTTTTTATAAAGTCTATAACTTGGAGAAGAACATAAAGAAGAGTTACCTATTTCAATGAAATGTATATAGGTATTCCTGAAAAAAACCCACCAGTGTTCACAAAATTATATTATAAAATGCTCAGATTTGATCTTACGAGTGAGGTATTCTCAAAGGATCCATATATATGTAAATGTAAGTGCATGTGTGTGTGATAGTTTTTTTAATTTTATTTATGTGTTTCTTTATTAATTTAATTTCTGCATCATATGCCCTCTGCCCTCAGCTTTTCTTCTTTCATTAAAGTCCCTCAGTATTTGTGATGTGGTTGACTTTGCACTGCTGATTTAATTTTTGTACTCTTAAAGTGGCTCATTCAATATTCATATATTATCATTGGAATGAAGGCCTAGGGCCCTTCCTGAAACATGAGTTGTTTGTCCTTCGCAATTAGCAATATAGAAAGAATGGATGTGCTAATGCTTCTTTCCTATTCAAACTAAGAGCATTGGTCAGTCTTCGTGCTTCTTCCTTCCCCTGTTTATATACCAGTATGTATGTGCACATATATGCTTACATGTTTATACCTTGTACAAAATAACAGGGTCAAGTTTCCCATTCCAGCAGCTATACACAGGTAGGGAAAAAGTAGGTTTACGGTTGTGAGTACACAAAAGTCAGAGTTTATTCTTATATTATTATTATTTATTAATTGTTGTATTATTTTCCATGCAAATTACTCTAAACCTATTTTTCCCCCACCCTGTAGTTCCTCATTTTGACTTTTACCAATTGGGATGTGAACCTTCCTCTTTTGAGTGAAGGTGATTTCCAAAACATTCAGAAATGGGAATCTTAGAGAAGAGATTCTAAAGAGAAGGCCTTGCTGTTTTCCTCTGGTTTGACTTGGTAATTGCCCAGAGCCCTTGCACACAAAAGGCAAGGCCCCAGTTGCGTTTATACATATGTTCCTCAGTGCTCCCTCTTGTTTCCTGTCAGTCATTCCTGTCACCTGTAGCTTTCTGTTGTTGTTCCCTAGCTTACAACCTCTTTCTTTTCTCTTCACACTCAGATTACAGTTGACCCTATCTCCAGGGAGTGGATCGAATAATGGTTTTATGATATACTGTGACTATATGACATAGTCACACACTTGAGATATATTCAGAGATTTTAGATCCAAATCTCTAATATCATTTTCATCTTTAGAAATGGGCCTACACAGCAGTATGGTCCTTGTAATGACCTCACAGACCTGACCATTAATGATTCCCCTTAGTATGTACCTCTGCCTAATAAGAGTGTAATGAGCTCTTCTTTCTGTGAAAAGCTGGGTTTTTGTTCTAGGGAAAGTGATTGTCTTTCGTTATATAAAAGCTTATTTTTATATTAATACTTTTTATTGCTCATTTTTGTGCTTTTTGGCACAGGCTCCAAGTGATGTGGTTGAAATAGCTTCTAATCACAGAACTTGCTTTTTAAATAAAAATAGAAATTTGTTACACTGTCTTGCAGTTACTCTGCAAGCCCTTGCTTGAATTAGTTGTTCACAATTTTGCATTTCTTCTTCCCTTTCCTGAAGTCACACCCTATTTGTTTTTTGTCTTTTTTTTCCTTAATTTCTGGATCTTAATGATCTTGTAAGCAGTCTGTATCTTCATTTGATGTGCTAAATGTCTGTCTCTAAAATATTTTTAAATAGCACTGTCCAGATGCTGCAACTAAAAGATAGAAGAGTTACTATGCAGTATTTTTGTCTGGTCGCTTACCCTAAATGAAGAGGAAATTTTTATATTCTTAGAAGTCAAAGACAGTGCTAAACACACTGGCCTGGAGCTTCTAGCCCAGCCAAGAGGACAGTGATCCTGGCAGCACCTCATCTAGATTTCAATAAAAGATAATTTGCTTTGCCCAAAAAAAAGAAGAAATTTGAAAAAATTCTAATGTTTTCTTAACTTTCCCATAACTATCAGAAATATGTTTCTAAAATTAATTTTTAAAACCAAGTCATTTAAAGGGAGGCATTATACTATTTTATCAGCATTACTTATCAATAACTCTCTGCCAGAAAGTTTTCTTTTCTCCAAGCGATGGTTGTATGCTTGGTTAACAAAAAACTATCTTGAATTCCCATAAGAGCTTTAGGCTTACATAAAGTAACTTGCCTATATTTTTTCATCTCTTTTATTTTTTAATATTTTCATTAATTTTCAAATCTAAATTCATCTCTGTTTAATTCTAATCCTTAAATTCTATATCATTTATTTTAAGTTCCCAGTGTTGTCCTTTCCACTGTTTTTTTCTGTTTAAATTTTCAGGGGTTTGTTTTACAGTACAAAACATAGAACACCAAAAGTTCTTCCAAGCTCATGGCAGAAAGAGGAAAATGATCATAGAGCATGTATTTGTATGGCAGAGGTGAAGGGCAGGGAAGGAGGGGTTTGAGAGAGAGAACAGTGGGGGTGAGGTCACCAACTGCCCTTCCTTGAGATGACTGTTTTTCACCTTTACACAATGCCTTTTCTGTTCTTTCTATGAAATGATAATAAATGATAGGTAATTAGGTTTTTTTAATGACCATGTTTGACAAAATTAAAAGCTGATAATCCTATTTTGCCCCCCCAAAAAAATTCTATTTTAAATCACAATTTAAAAACATTTAAAAGAAAACAGCCTCCCAATTTGTCATCTAAACAAGAGTCTAACATGTTTAGGTATGCTGTTTACATTGTAAAACAATTTTTATACAAGAAATTCTTTTCTATTTTGATTATCAAAATTTGTTAATACATTCACTAGAATGTGTTTAGTTTAATCTTATGATAAGCAGTATATTGTTGCTTTGTTACTTAATAATCCAAAGTATGAATGTTCTGTTCTCATATTTTACATCAAAGAAGTCAAAATCAGCACCTAGTATTTTAATAATTGAAAGCCTAAACAGTCCCAGTGAATGTGCTTATGGAACACAAGGGCTCACTTTGGACTCAGCAGGGGGACCGTGCTTCTTGTGGCTCATCTACTGGGCCCAACTGTGGCTTGATAACCTGCTTGCTCTAAAATCATACTATTTGTTGTTTGTCCATATGCTGCCTTCCTCCTAGGACTTCTAGCAGCAGAAAGTAGGTATCCCTTTGTTTTTCTCTAAGGTTTATCTTTTATGCAAAAGTATTTGGCTTTGCATGGTTCATAATCAGCTTGACTTTTTCCTTGGCTGTCTGTGTGTAGATATTTAATTGTGAATTTTAACACTGCCTGATCATAAAATAAAAGCTTGGATATATTGATTTCCTGAGACATTGTTATACAAATATTAACTTCTCACTTCTTTCATAAGAGGAAAAAGAGGCAGTGTTAAAATTTTAATTGCACTTACTATTTCACATCTGAATTTCAAGCACAAATACATTAATTCTGGAAGAAGGGTAACATTTTACTGTATAGTTTGTTTTCAAGAAAACTCAGGGTAAGTGAATTTTCCTTTGACAATTACATAATCTGTAAGTGGTTATTATTATGTTTTGTTACTGACTCTATTTTCAGTTTATTAATATGGCACTATGAAATAAAATACTGAATTTATGTCTATTCATGTCTCTTAACAACTTTTACCATCAGAAAGAACAGATATGAAGAATAATGTAATGGCTATATTTTAATTACAAAGGGATGTAATTTGAGTATGGGAGAATATTAAAGTAAAAGACATGTAAGAAATTGCATGTGTGCATATACACACACACACACAAATGAGTAAAAATAAAACTTAGGCAAACCGAGTAAGATAGTTGGATTGTGTCAATGTCAGTATCCTGGTTGTGGTATTATTATACTATAGTTTTGTAAAATGTTACCAATGGGGAAACTGAGCAGAGTATACAAGGGATCTCTATTATTTCTTAAAACTGCATATGAATCTATTATCTCAATAATAATTTCAATTAAAACAAAAGAATAAACCTTTACCTTAATGTTGTGCTTACTGAAAGGAAAGTATATAAGAGACAAAGATAAATTAGAAAATCTGGAAGCTAGTAATCGAATTCATTGTTACATTTTGTTACTTTAGTTGTAGCTCCAATTGCAGCTGATTTAACAGTCACGCACCAATTAACAATTGAGATACATTCTGAGAAATGTGCCATAAAGCAGTTTCTTCACCATGCAAACATCATAGAGTGCACTTACACAAACCTAGGTGGTATAGCCTACTACTGTTAATTGTATGTAATACACTTTTATATGACTAGCAGCACATGCCACCATTGTATATGTGGTTCATCGTTGACCTAAATGTTGTTAAGTGGTGCATGACTGTATAAAAATCTCACAGTATGTTTGTTATCTGTTGTTATGTAATGAATAACAGCAAAGCAGCATTTATCATCTTATGGTTTCTATGGATCAGGAATCTGGGCATGGTTCAGCTGAGTGCCTCTGGCTCATGATCTCTCATGAGATTGCAGTCAAACTGTTGTCCAGAGCTGCAATCTCATGTGAAGGGCCAACTATAGGGGAAATTCTCTTCCAAGCTCACTCACAAGATTATTGA